TGACTGGTCAGTACAGATCCCAGGACACTGTCAGTAAGAGTAGGGGTGTCCTGACTGCTGGTCAGTACAGATCCCAGGACACTGTCAGTAAGAGTAGGGGTGTCCTGGCTGCTGATCCCAGGATGGCGTCAGTAAGAGTAGAGGCTTTAACGTTATTTGCAATGAAAAGGCTCCCCTTTGCATTTCAGTTGTAAGTGTGTAGTGCAGAGGACACATAACTGGTGAGTTAAAGCCTTACTGCCGAAATCACCCTGAGTGTTCCAGCCCACCCAGTAATAAAGGGCACTGGTATCACTGGGGTGACCCTTTCCTATGCCTCCCCTTCTGGGGCGGAATGAGCCCTTGGCCCGATGAGTCGCTGGACTTGATCGTTTTGCGTTCAGCCCCCCCCCCCCGGGAAGCCAGCGCCCCCTCTTGACAGAAGCGCCCCATTCCTGTCTCGGCAGCTGACGTGACTCTGGACCCCCACACCGCGCACCCCCGCCTGGCCCTGTCGGAGGACAGGAGACGGGCGCGGCTGGGCCCGGGGCGGCGGGAGGCCCCCGGGGGCCCGCAGAGCTTCGACCGTGCCGGCTGCGTGCTGGGCGCCGAGGGCTTCGCCTCGGGGAGGCGCTACTGGGAGGTGGAGGTGGGGGACAAGACCGACTGGGACCTGGGCGTGGCCGGCGAGTCCGCCGCCAGGAAGGGGAGGATCCAGGCCAGCCCGCCGAACGGGTACTGGTTCGTGAGTCTGAGGAGGCAGAACATGTACGTCTTCCGTACCGACCCCGCCACGCCCCTCCGGCTGGCCCAGAAGCCCCGCAAGGTGGGGGTGTACGTGGATTACGAGGAGGGGCAGGTCTCCTTCTACAACGTGGAGGCCAGGTCCCACATGTTCACCTTTTACGACACCTTCAGGGAGAAGATCTACCCGTTCTTCAGCCCCTGTACCAATGATGGGGGTGAAAACTCAGCCCCTCTGATCATCACTCCTGTCAGTCCCCCTGAGTGACACACAACGTCTGTGGGAGGGGCAGCATGTATAATAACTGTTGTGTCTTTTGGCTTCACTGACTTTCTCAAAATTGGTTGTATTGTCATCACACTGAGCCCTGGGGACGGTTTCTGGACTGTGTGGCTGAGGGATCAGATCAGATCACTTTATTGGCCCTGTGCGATCTCGTGCATTAGGAGTTTGTCTTTTCCCAGACCTCAGCTTGCTCTCCATGAGACACACAGACAGGGAGAGAGAAGCTGGGGGTCAGAGCGCAGGGTCAGCCATTTATACAGCACCCCGGGAGCAGCTGGGGTGAAGGGCCTCGCTCAGGGGCCCAATGGAGTAGGATTCCTCTGCCGGCTTTGGGATTCGAACCGGCAACCTCCAGCCACCAAGCCACCAAGCCACCGCTCCGGATGGGACGTATGCAGCAAATTCGACTGTCCCTGTTGTCCTCCAGCTGCCCAAGGAGCCCCCGAAGGTGGGGGTGTATGTGGATTACGAGGAGGGGAAGAAGCTCTACCCGTTCTTCAGCCCCTGTACCAACGAGGGGGGCAGCAACTTAGCCCCTCTCACCATCTCCGCTCCCCCTCTCACAGAGCAGCGCTCACACAGCCCCCGGGGGGGATCGGTCAAGTCAGACTTCATGTCGCAGGGCAGCCCCCCCAGCGCAGGAGCCCGGCATCCGGTTTCGTGTCAGGAACCTGCTGCAACCGGGACCAGACCAGAGATCGCACAAGCCCGTCTGCTGCTGGCTGGACGGGGCACGGGCCCGAACATGAGTGCACAGCTGTGACCGCGGTGAACGGAGAGGGTACGTTTTTGTTGAGATACGCAGCGCAGTTCTCAGAGGACTGGAAGAATCAGACGTGTTGAGGACGTGCTTGTAGGATACTGGGCGTGTGAGTCCGATCCTGTGGGTTCTGGGTGTTTTAGGAGCTTTGGGGCTGAGCAGTAACCAGAAGGCTCAGGCTGAATCCAGATTCTGACTGAGCCTGCTACACATAGAAAACAAGTATTGTCTTTAGCTTGCAAGTGAAGCTTTTACTAGAGAGAAAATCAGAACTCAAAGATCCCCAGTGTTTAATGACCTTCACTTCAGGAGGTCACAGCAGACTCCTGAGTCTTCCAGGACCTTCAGGAGGTCACAGCAGGCTCCTGAGTCTTCCAGGACCTTCAGGAGGTCACATCAGGCTCCTGAGTCTTGCAGGACCTTCAGGAGGTCACAGCAGACTCCTGCGTCTTCTAGGACCTTCAGGAGAAAACAACAGGCTCCTGAGTCTTCCAGGACCTTCATGACAAAACCACAGGCTCCTGAGTCTTGCAGGATCTTCAGGAGGTCACAGCAGGGCAGATTGCATAGCCACAGAGCAGTTAGTCAATCAATCACTCGTACCTTTAAGAATGAGCAATACTCCTACAGCTGCTAATCTGCAGGCTAGCAGTTTATGTCATACTATTGCAAAGTGTACTCTTGTCAATGTCCAAACAATGTGGGATGGGAGTAAAAAGGTCCATATGACCTCAGTATATTGTACATAGAGAGCGGTGTAGCATATAAACCGAAGGGAATTGCTATATGTTAAAATGCTAAACTTCTTTGGTAAGGGAAGATGTAAAAACACGTGCCTTTTGGGATTAGTTCAGAGAAGGCAAACGGTGAATTCCTTGTCTTAAAGGAATGTTGTGCACTGTGGGGTTGAAGGAACTGAGCCTCCTTAGTCTGGACCAGCAGGGAATGTGAAGACCACAGCCCGGAGAACTATTTCAGCATCAGAGGAAAGCAGGACCTCTGCTGGAGGGCGTTCAGCACTGACTTGTAGAAGCACTGCTTTCTGTAAAGGGGTGTTGAGGTTGTCTTGAAAAAACTGCCCATCCATGTTGTTGAAACTCATTCAGTGATTATGGTTTAAATCAGTACAGTTTAATAAACTCTCACACACTGAATTTTTTCATGTTGTTTCAAATTCCAAATGGAGGACATGTAGTTTTCTCTGTAACTTTTGCATAACTCTAGTCTGATCGTTGATTTTTCCAATGTGCTTTTGGTCACAAGACCTTCATCAGGCTGTTTAAAATGATCATTTTGAATCTATTAAAATATATTCCCCGCTGTTTCCTTCTAGATGTTTTGGAAACATTTATTCTGATTTGACAATTGTTAAACACATTACGCACTGTTATCACTGTGACAATACCAGGGAGGAAGCCTGCTTTTCTGGGGGTTAATTTCCAATCCTGGACTAGCCTTTACATGACAGCACGTCGTGTATGGTTGTTTGGAATATCTAATAAACCTCGTTCTGCAGACGAGACCAGGATCTGGAGATCAGACACTGTTGTGCAGGTGAAATACGTCAACTTGCAGGTCACTCACAGCCAAAAGATCACAGATTCAAAAATAGGATGATCACTCACAGCCAGAAGATCACAAATTCCAAACCATGATCACTTACGGCCATAAGGTCACAGATTTCCAAACTGATGATCACTCACAGCCAGAATCAGAGATTCAAGTATTCAAACTCCACAGAGGCATCAACAAAGTCGACCGAGCCGCTATCTTCAGAATCAACAGTGACAAACACAGGACACAGGTAGAAGCTACAGGGTACGAAGTGAATTTAAACCTGAGAACGGGAGGCCCTCCTGTACACAGAGGGTGGTGGGAGTGTGGAACACGCTGCCCAGGAATGTAGTGGAAGCTGATACCCTGGTGTCTCTCAGGAAATGGCTGGATGAGATCCAGGGATGATTAGTAACGAACTTCCAAACTGACTTCTCATTTGTGACTATTCCTGTGAGTACAGAACCCTTTCCGCTGGTGCTTATTTAAAACAAACCTCACGATTAAAACAACAGCCTCCTTCATGGCCGTGCAGCCAGGTGTCCCATGTAGTCCCTTATACTACGCCATTTTCCTCCCTCCCCACCAACCTAATTCAGTTGCTACTGAATTTATCCAGTTAATTAATTCAGTGCTGGAATCCTAGCTGGTGGATATTTGATGCTGGTTGCCTAGCGCTGGTTGCTAGGAGGCCGGGGGCATCTTCTGACTGCACATTCCGCGGTGTGGCTGTTGGAGCAGCTGAGGCGGACAGGACCCCAGGGCGGCGCCCCAGCTCAGCTCAACATGGCCGTCAACCTGCCCTGCCACTTCCAGACTTACTACAGGGAGAACCTGCGGGACCTCCTGGTGTGAGTGCTCCCTCTTCCTTTTGCCTCCGCTCCTCGGTTCGGTAACGGCGCCGCGCGGCGGCACCGGCCGCCCGTGCGCGATGCCTCCTCACCGGGCCGCGCGTGCGGGGG